ACTGAGAGACACCGAAGCAACTCCTTTGCGTTTGGAAGCGGGGGGTGGGGGTGGAGGGAGGACCGGGGAGGACCAGGGAGGATGATTCAACCACTAGGTGTCGCTGAAAACAACAAATATTACACACTGTGCCTTTAATCGTGCCAGTGTGGAAAATAGAAATGAGAGCAACACTGACTGATCATCGATGCATAGCTGGAGTCAAATCACATTTTTCTCCACACTAAGCAAAACAAAATGTAATTTACCATTTAATGCAGAGAGAAGTGTCTTTTTTTTAGCCTTCTCATGAACCATCAATGCACTAATGTCCTATCTGTTGGTCGAAATCACTACAAGGTCAGAGATGAACTAACTGGAGTATTGATTATCTATCACTTTGTGGGAATCCATCAGGATATCCTTGTTTGGTGTCCCTTCAGGCATACTGCACATATTGGATTGCACGTGTTAAAGGGAAATATGTCTTACTGTGCAGAATAGGTGACTTTTTGGTAGTAAATCGTATACCGGGCACCTGGGGTACCAGAAGCTCAAAACAAGTGCCAATAGTGACAGYAAAATAAGCTGTTTGGCAGAGAGGATATTGCAATTTTTATATGTGCGCAACCCACATACTCAGCTCTGCTGCTCATCCCACAAATGCATGTTCCTTACAAATCTGGCACCATTTAAAARRTATATTAACAGACTTTCTAACGGTATAAGGTTTATTGCCAAGAAGCAATTTTACAACAAATTTCCTTACTTTTTGTGCTATGTTTATATAATGGTCTGCAATGTTGGGTTGTTCAGTCTTTTGCAGCAATAAATGACTAAAAGAAACTAAACATGACCGATATTTGAGTGGATAACCAGCTGCTTTGAGTCTCAAACACATCCCTGCACTGCCAGCATGTGCTTGGATAAACATTTGCAACTCTTACAAGGATGGAAGGATGTTTGGATGATTGCGTTGAAGTGAATGACACATGAAGAGCATAGAGAACAGGGAAAACCCCCCTTCATGGATCATTTTGCCTGCTGTCAGCTTTATTAACAGCCTCGTCCACTGTAGTGCAATCCAATTAATTCCTACAATAAATTCTTGCTTGTCGCATTTTACAGGAGCCACGTCAAATCCACCGTCACTGTTGACAGTCTACTGACGCACAGACAGCAGGAAGCTAAAATGAAGAAATAGAATAAAAAGCTGATAAAGTTGAACAAGACACAAGAAGAAATGCAGGAAAATCTTCTAAATCATATTTTCTTCTTTAAAATTGACTTTTTTGAAAATTCCTTGCATGTTTCCAAGAAAGGTACTGTATATCATAATGGATTCTCACAGCCAAGACAAGATTCAGTTATTTACTCTGTTCCGTTCCCTTCCTGGCTATATATATATA